AGGTAAACCGCTGCAGCTCTGCAGGTAAACCGCTGCAGCTCTGCAGGACAAATTGAATTTGCTGATATGTCAGTTATAAACATGAACATTAAAAGAAACAAACATTTGAAATATACCAGCACCTGTATTGCAAATGTACTTTTAATCACTTTCTGTGTGATTTGTAAGTGTGTTAAGTGCAGGATCATTTCTCATTTAATGAGTAGATCCCACACCGGGGTCAGCTGAGCCTCGTCCTCCTCCTCCCTGCTCCGCACTGATTCACATCAGATTGTTCACAAAAGTGCAGGAACTTATGCATAGTGCAAAACTTTAATGATATTTGTGTTTTTTTAATAAAATTGCCCATGACTTTGAACTTTTAGGGGCAGAGATTTATTTTAATAGCAGAAGCAGAAATTCGAAGGACCAGCTCTGATGTGATATTAGGAAGCTGTGTTTAAAATTATAGTTCTATTTAATTAATAGTTTTACAGACACTCTTTGTCAGGCGGGTTGAAAAATATGCAGTGATCCTTCAAATGTGCAGACAGGGCCGTGCACCTCCTCCTGTCCTGTCTGCTCCAGACCAGCAGCTGAATTACTCCACCTGAACGGGCGATGTAGAACCATCTGCGCATGCGTCTAACAGAAACTGAAACTTACCACTTGTGTATGTTGACCTGCGTCAAGAGTGACTCATTGACACATGTGGTGGAGAGAATCTGTTGATTTTTCAAAATTAAAGTTTTTTGTTTTTTTCTGTGCGGCCTGGTATAAATTGACCCAGGGCCCGGTACCGGTCCGCAGCCCAGTGGTTGGGGACCACTGATCTAAATTATACACTACAGTTTACAAAAGAAATGGGCTGTAAACAAACAAAATAAAGGAAAAACTATTTAAAGACAACAGAACCTTAACACATCAAATACTCATTTTAAAAGTTGTAGTCCAGACCCAGGTGTGTGGCTAATTACCCACGCCACTGACATGAGTGCTCAGGGACGGCACCCCAAACAATTCATTGTGGAGAAGTCCAGTGAAGCAGCCACAGGCGTCTGAAGACAATTAAGTGCAAAAATCTAGAGAACCCAAACAGCAGTGGTCCTCCACAGAGCCAGAACACTGGTAATCTTCCATAGAGACAACAGTTGTAACCTCAGTGGAGACCAACCAGCAGTGGTCCCAACTTCAGCAAAGGACCTATAAAATTCAGTCAACTGCTGACACACACAGGAGGAGGAGGAGGAAAGCAGCAAGCTTGGTGTTCATGCCACGAAGGCCATAACAGCATGCACAACATGATCAGCTGCTCAGCCACAACCAAACCCCACAGGTTGCAAGCCATGTACTGAGAGCAGGAGGAAAACAGGTGCCAGAAGGAACATTACCACCTCCTTTTATACTCCGCCTACCTCGTTTACCAGGAAGTGACATTTCTCTAGCCAGGTATATTTTCATACTGTTACACATCCATGAACATACATACACCAATATATCTTTACAGGGGGTGGGGGGTATTGTATGTTTGTGTGTGTATATATGTAACTGCAGCAAGCTTGATTGAAGTCCAAGGTCACGGCACCAATGTAACAGTTGTGTAACCTGTCCTAACACTCTGAGGCCGATGGGTTGGATGAGGTAGCACTTTACTGTTAATGAGTGGTTCAAAGCATAAACATAGCGTGGTCAGCTCCTCTACTGGCACAAATATCACAGCAGAGTGTTAGGAAGACTGTGGTAGAATTTCAGTTTCTGATCATATTTATAGCCTACCAGTAGAGAGCGCCAAAGCCCACTCATTACAGGACAACTATAAATAGGGATGTACCAATCCACTTTTTTAACTTCCGATCCAATCCCAATACCTAAATCTGGACATCGGTCGATACCGATACCGTCCCAATATCATCATTATTGATTTTATATGAGGCTGTAATAATCTCCTCTCTATAGGCAAGTACAATTTGTACAAATACATGTATGTCCAAAAAGGCAACATGAGGTAAGTTTTATGAATGTTGGATAAGTTTCAAAGTTACAATTAAATCCTGCTAATACAAAACATGTTTTTATTATTCCTAGCTTTAAAGTGGATATTAAAGTGATTAGATGGCTTCAAACATCTGCTAAGTTCATGGCATAAACCAACAGAGACATGTTCCTGTTTTTAGTATTTTGCATCACTTTATAATGTAGCTGTTTTTGTTTCTTTTTTTATACATATAATTTTCTTGTATTTTTCAATTCATATGCTTTTCATGATTGTCTACTGTTGTACTGATAAATATCTCCTGGAGGGTAAACTATATCTTGGCTGGAAGCATCAAGCTGCAAAATCCTTTGTTTTCTACAACTCATAGCGGTTGGTCATTAATTACGATAAAGTTTAGCAACTTCTCCGTAAACATTTGAGCTCCGGGGCTTCAGCAATGTCTTCTTCTTGTTCAGTCCAGAGAAGGCAGTCTGATTTTGGTCAGCCGCGCTCAGTCTGCCCCTCCTCAGAGATGGGCAGACTGAGCGCGGCTGACTGAAATCAGACCGCCTTCTCCGAACTGAACAAAAATAACACACCGCTGAAGCCCCGGAGCTCGAATGTCCAACGTAAAACTAACTTTACCGTGGTTTAATGTGGCGCTATGGCTCTGCAGACATTGCACGTTGCTGTCTTGTTTTGTGTGTTTCTAGTGTAAAATACTTCCACACAGTGGACATGTTTAGATGAAAAGATGGTTAGCTGTTAGCCACAGTGCTGCTAACTCAGTCCTCACATTGTAGCTGGCTGCAAACTATGAACTGGATTTCCTGAATGTGAGGCGGGTCTTATTACTCTGGGCTCATGAGACACGCCGCCGTTCAGGAAATCCAGTCCATAGTTTGAAGCCAACATGCAGAGCAGCTGGCAGGGAATCACATGAGAAGTTTCAGCAGACACAGACATGTATCATGGATTAGAAATCTCTGCAGGTTGGATCGGAAAAATCCAATACGTAAATTATGCTGGTATCTGAGCCGGATACAGATACTGGATCGGATCGGCCCCATCCCTAACTGTAATACAAATTTTAGCAGGAATTCCATTACAATAATCTAAGTATTTCTTATACCTGTTACATACACCCCCCTGAAATTCTGCTAAATATAAAGAGTAAGTCCTCAGACCAAGTAAAACAAAAACAACAAAATGAGTGGGTGTACATAAGATAAAAAGCAACCAAAAACTGTGTAATATCAGGAACAAAAACTAAGTATACATGTCAGTTCAAAAACTCCCCCAAAAAGGAGTATGTAAAGAAAGGAGGCGATCAAACTCCTAACTAAACACAGACTCAAAGGTGCCCATTACACCTCCGAAATGTAATCACTGTTCCTGTAACTCCAAAAGTA